GTGGAGGTCTGGTGGATGACGTAAGTACAGAAATCACTAAGTGTCTCGGCGTTTGTTTCATTGGCACCTGCAGACAGACGCGTATGTAGATATTCAGACGCCTATGGCAAGTATAGAATTTGCGTCCCTGTGAGGATACTTCAAATTAAGGTTTTATTCTTCATTTTAGCGGGTGTACTCTGAATAGCGTCCCTATCAGTGGCGCCCATGGCTCGTGTCATGTCTGCCATACCGTAGATATGCCTCTGCCTGCACAATCACCTCTGAGATATCTCAAATTTCATTTTACGTGCAAATGTGTGTTCTAAACGCTGTATGTAAATACTCACGTAGTCATCATACTTCGTGTGCAACATGAAGTATTTTCTTCCATATTTTTATTTTCATGATTTCGCTTTTAATTACGAATTTTGAACCCGGTAAACTGTGGCTTGTATCTTAGTTTCAGATAAGTATTTTGGAATTCGGTTATTGTCTTAAGTTTTTAGTTGATTAATTTTTCATTCCGGAGCTGTAGAAGCAGTTGGGCAGATTTTTTTGAATATTCCATGCCTTTAGACGAATCTTTCTTGCCTTCTACTGTAAAATGCAGAAGCGGAATATACAGTAGAAGACACGTCTACACATAAACGTAGATTGATCGTCGAATTTTCAGGATGTGAATCCGCGAGGTCCATGGACCCCGGGTGTCTAGTTGAGAATGCACAAACTGATTCTGACTACGTTCAAACTAATCAGCAAATCGCCCACCCCGGGGAGCAATCCTGGTACGACAAAGAATTGTATGGAGTGATCGACCGTGTAGACTAAATAATCAGCAACCCTGCTGGAACGCCTATCGCCCAAATAGGTTCACTGATTGCTGCTGCTGGCACAGTTCATACTATTGTCAGTGCATATGAAAACTAGTTTGTGTCTGTTTTGGACTGCTGTTGGCAATCTTACACGCAGAATATGCTGTGCGAGTCATTGGGGGTAAACTTACTCGCTTGTTTGAAGGAAAGTAATTTTACATTCCGAGTTGCTTCATGCTTTTGCATGCGAATCGGATCTCAAACGGCAGCCCTGGATGACGTATCATTGAATCTCTCCCATGTCTGTCCTGCATGTATTTAAGCAAATTTTCGATGCGTTTGCGCCCTGTTTGAGGTTTCAGCGCCCGTACCATCAGCGCGCCGCCCCACGATCTTCTTCCGGCTTAGCGACTTAACAATTCAAAGAAAGCGCTACCATGATTTTACTAACTTAGCGGTTTTCCTGTCCTTTCCTGGAAAGAGAGATCCATGAGGTGGTTAACGTTATCTTTCTTCTTTTTTTTAAAAAAAATTGTTGCGTCTACATTGACGAAACGCGCCACCTAGCCCTTTTGGGGGAGTTGAGCGCTTTGCGTTTCGAGTAATCCTCCATTAATATTCGTCGTAATCGTCACGTCTCGTAGTCAATTGTCAGGAGAACCGCCAGGTAGCACCTCCGCGCCTCTTACTACGCGCTCTAGCGGTACTACCCAGCGGCCAGAATTGGGGGTTAGGTTTTTTATAGGTGATTATGGAAATTTTATTTAAAATCTTGCACTCCAATGGCTAAAGGCGAGACAACTCACCTAAAACAAGCACCCCGAAGAGAAGAGAAAACTACTACGTCTGCATCGTTATTCCTGGGTGATGCTAAAAGTAGTTTGTTGAAAAAATCTCAGCGCTAACTAATCGCAAAAAAAAAACCTTTATGTTAAATATAATTCTTCAATGAACAAAATGGGGGTTCTCGTTTGAGATTTGAAAGTTAACTACTTACTTTGAAGATTACGGCGCCATCTATCACGAATGACAACTAGTTGTGTCACAACAGCATATACTTTCTCGCGTTATTTCAAACGCTACGTAGTATTGAAATATTGCATTTTCTGCGCTACTAACACCTTGGCCATTCTTCAAACGTGTAATTCAACCAAGAAGTGAGCAACGCAGTGTTGCCAGCGCAGCGTTATAAAAACTATGTGCATTCGCTTGGCTTTGTTAAGTGGAATATATGCAATTGGCATCAAAATAATTACGAACATTCGTGAGATGCCTTTCGTCGTAAGATAACAGTTTCGATAGCGTACCATTTCATCACCGACTTCTCACATCCACACTTAAGATATAATGAACACTATTGTTTTTACAGAAAGAGAGCGTCCATGGTTTCTCGGAATGATAAGATGGTATAATCAAAACAAGTGCTGCTCAAGTGCTTCTCAATTGATGCGACGTTGTTGCGAAATTTCAACTAAGCTTTGCAGATTGCTTAAAAAGAAATACATCAATACATTGAGAATACACATTGAGTAAAAAGTAAAAAAGCGGGAAAGAAAAAATTGAATTAATATTGGCATTTTCAATAGGAAATTATAATTAAAATTAAATTAATTATTTTTCATAATATTCATTCAATTTTTCTCGTGACTTGCAGTTGCTGTGAAACCTGTAAGGCAATTTTTAAACAACTATTTTCTCAAAAACTGCTCCAGATTTTTGTTTAAAATTTCCTCTCTTCTGGATTTGTAGACACTTGAAATTCCACATCATGCAATCAGAGTACACAAAGTTTCCTTGTTTTTATGTTTACGGCATAGCCGTAATACGAATTCCCACTGGAACAAAGAAGTCTGATAATAATGAGAAGTTCTGTTGTCTGGTGAAAAGGTGTATAATTAGTGTCGCTAAGATAAAAGAAGGAATCTTTGTAGTCTCAGATCTCTGAAAACTTTTCTCAGATACACATTTTGCTCAGATCATGCATAAGAAGGAGAGGTAGCCAGGAATTATTTTAAAGAGTTCCAGGCTTAGCAAGTTCCTTGTCAATGTAAAGGATCGTAACCATAGATGTATCGCAGAAATCATGTTGAAGCCATTTCAAATACAATATTGCCAAATGAGTTTGAAGGTTCACTGCCTGCACTCTGCGTGTGGACAATATTCCGGAAATTATGGAGAAACAAGGGGAAGGTTTCATGAGGACATTAAGCGGATGGAACGTAGGAATCAGAGTAAGTAGAACGTGAACATGAAGGCAGACTATTGCTGGATGCTACAGCGTGAATCACCGAAAGGGTCATATATCCGGAAGTGATCACAAAGTAGTTTCCAAGAGAAAAGAACACGTTTAGAGAAAAATAACAATTAAATACGCATCATTGTTTACTCTGGCAAGTTTACCTGTACATAATATGGTATTTGGTATTATGAATAACATGTAAATAAATAAAAATCTGTCAGCCCATTGTGTTTTCTTATATATAACTACTCTCTTTTGAGAGTGAAAAAATCTGTTCGTGATAGAGAAAAACGGACCTCATTTTCAGTTTTTGTTTACTTTCTGCTGCCCAAAATTAATTTGCTGTTCTCTCCAAAAGCCACAAAAAGCGACCAGGCAGCCGCTGAGAACGTAACGTTCATGTAAGTCATAATAGACGAAGTTAAGAATGTCATCCGAGGCGTGGAGAATGATACATTTTATAACATACAATATATATGTATATATATATATATATATATATATATATATATATATATATATATATATATATATAGTAAAGAGTCAAGATATTCAAAGCCTTTGGATATTAAGAGGGAGTATGTTCGTGTGTACAGCCTACGTGTATAAAAATATATTAGCGGATACCATAGTGACAGATAAGACACAAAATACAGAAATCAATAACCAGAAGTAGAATGAACGTCTTACCAAAAGAAGTGTGATATATGGTCAGGTGGACATCGAAACTATGGAATGTATGACGTTTCTCAGTTATAAGTAAAGGCTGAATAACTTAAGTGTCAACAAGGAATGTATGTCTTGGAGCTGGAAGATTTGGGAAAATATGAATGATGTTTAACGACTTGTGCACGTGAGCAGGAAGATGTGTATTAAGAATACGAACAGACTTAAGTTTTCCTTTAGTTGTTTGTGTAAAGTTCTTTGCTTTGTTATTGTTTCCTTTACTGAGTATAATTTAATATTGTAAATAAATGTTTTATTGTAATTAGAGTTTTGAAAATGTTTTTGATTTAATCAAACGGCACACTGAAAAAAAAGAACCGTTGGAGTATACCAGATTCATGATACTGTAACAAGTATCTCATTCAAGTATGCGGCGTATGCCGTAAAACTATTGACCTTCAAAATAAATAATAATTTGTTTTTCCTTGTGATTTTATTTCTTTAACCATATATAATATATACGAACAAAGAAAAAATAAAAACTAATTATAATTAAGAGAATTGAGATAAATTATTAAATATGTCCCAAAAATGAAAAATTCTACGCCATTAAATAACATTTAACTAGCTAATAAATAATAAAATCTTCCTGCGTCATTACCGTTTTATATTCGTTACTAATAAGCCCAAGAAACATTTTGGTCATTGTACGAATCATAAACCACTTATTTGTAAAAAAATAAACACACACTGCACTCGTCATTAAATCTACTCTTGCATTAATGTTACGTTCGTTTTTCGTAGCATGTGGCCGACACGATAGTATCTAAAGTATCATTCCGATATGGACACAAAAAAATCCTATAGAACAACATATTTACTTACAAATTTATCTCTAATCAATCAAAATCTATGTCACCATTCACCCCATTAAATCACTATTATCACAAACGTCCATTCTCTGACCTTTATACCCTTCCTTCAATATGATTAACAGGAATATACTAGTTGGGTCCAAACTCTACCCATATTGAAAGGCAACACTCACCATTTTGTAATATTATACGTTTACTGTTGAGTTGAAGTTTGTAATGTCATGTTCAAAATTCGTTGTTGTGGTATACGGCTTGAGTCTTATTATGCTACAGATTATTGAAACGTTTTTTTAAATAGTGGTAATATAAATGAAAAAAATATTTAATGGATAATCATTAACAACATTCAATTATGATTTTTTAGTACGTCTAACGGCAGTTTTGAAACTGTAGGTTAAAGGATTTCCACTGCCCTACACAAAGCAAATAGACAAGAATTTCATGAAAATTAATCTAATCAAGAAATTCTCTCAAAACTGTCAAATACGTATAGGATGACTGGATGATCTGAAACAAATAATAAAATCAATTAGAAAAGCATAAATAAAAGTCAGTTATCTAAATAAAAAAATATTTATTAAAACTAAAGACATAGCAATACAGATTTAAATAAGAGATAGTTTCTTAAAAAAATGTTGCCTCCCCACGGTAATCCCCCCTCGCTTTGTAGTAGCAAATTAGTAATAACTTTGTAGTAGTAAAATAGTTGTAACTAAATACAAAACGCATTACTTGAATGTTTTATTCCTAAAACTCAATTGAAAAAACATATTACTAGTGGTAATAGTAAATAAAATTACTTAAACAACACTGGTGTTTCAATTAATGTAACAAACTATTTACATAAACACAAAAAACAACAGGGAGGAAACATGTAAATGATTGTAAGGAGCACGTAAAGAAACGTGTAAATGAAAGTAAACTATACACCTATAAGAACTACTGCATTGCTTTTCAAACAGTGAAATGATCTAAAAAGAAAAGAATCCGCGCTTACCGCCGCAAAGGTGAGCACGGAGAGCACAGAGAAGCTGCCCACGCGCACCACCAGAGGCCGCTGGGCGCGAACCATCACCAACAGCAGCAGGCGGCGCAGCGGCGGCGGCGCCAGCGGCCACGCCCCCTCGTACACGGCGCGCGACACGCCCTCGCTCTGCGCCCGCCAGCACGCGTCAGCCAGACACACACACGGACACTCATTCACTCACACGACAGCCAGACAAACAGGAAGATAGACAGCCACAGATGCTCAATCACAGACAGCCACACACACACGAGCCAGGCAAACAGGATGCCAGGCACTTAGTCACCCACACACGACAGCCAGGCACACAGTACGCATGGACACTTATTCACACACGACAGCCAGACAAACAGGAAGATGGTCACACACAGATGCTCAATCATAGACAACCACCCACACACGATAGCCAGGCACACACAAGGACACTCATTCACACACGCGACAGCCAGACAAACAGGAAGACAGTCACAAACAGATGCTCAATCACAGACAGCCACACACACACACACGAGCAAGGCAAACAGGATGCCAGGCACTTTGCCACTCACACACGACAGCCTGTCACACAGACAGACACACGGACACATTCACATACACTCAAGCCAGGCAGACCGGCAGTCATTCAGACAGCCACACACAGATGCTCTATCACAGACAGCCACACACACACGGACACTTATTCACACACACAAGCCAGGCAAAGACACACGTACAGAAACAGACAGTCAGACAGACTGGTACACGAGCAATCACACGTTTCTTCATCCAGACACACACAGACAAATATACAGACATTTTGACGCTCAGACAGAAACAGACAGACTGATAAACAGTCACACAGGTATTCATCTAGACACACACAGGCAAAGACATAGACATCCAGACGCTCAGACGGACATGCAGACAGCCAGTCACACAGATAGACACAGACACACTGACACTCATTCACACACACGACAGCCAGATAAACAGAAAGATAGGCAGCCATTCAGACAGCCACACACAGATGCTCAATCACAGACAGCCACACACACACGAGCCAGGCAAACAGGATGCACGTAACTTTTAGACACACATGCAGAAAAAGACAGACTGATACGCGAACAGTCACACGGGTATTCATCCAGAAACACACAGACAAAGCCATAGACATTCAGACGCTGAGAAAGTCATGCAGACAGCCAGACACATACTAGACACTGGGAGAAGCAGACTGTCAAACACATAGACTATGCTAGAAAGAAAGCGGGAGTGACTAGATTATTGGCGAACACTAGGGGTCCTAGTCAAGAAAAGAGAAAGCTGTTTGCCTTGGTCTTCAAATCGATTCTCTTCCATGGATCACAAGTTTGGGCCACTTCTACATATTCGAAGATCTCCGTAAGAGGAACGGCGACAACATATGAACTGTCTGCGTTCAGGATAACAAATGCGTTCCGGATCGTCTCAAATGAAGCAGTTTTTGCCGGGATGATCACAATAGTATATATGATGGCCAGTGAATGGTAGTGTTGTTATGACAAAAGACAAGGGATGCAAAATTGCTTGTAACGACTAGCAAAACAACAGCAGTGATAGGACACTTCCTCCAAGTGAAGGTGGAACTACCGACTGATTTCTAAAGTTGACACATAGATAAATACAAAGCACGGTGGCGCACAGTTCTGCTGCAAATTTATATACTTGTATAATAGCTTATAGCTTTAAGCACTGTTTACCAGCTAAAATACCTTAGAAATTGGTAGTGCTGCACATACTTTCTCGCACTCATTAACGGTTCATTAATAATAGAATGTTGTAATTTTTAAAATTAATTTATGGATTAAGCTTTGTCCCTGGATACGGAGAAGAACTTAAATATATTTCAATTTTGTTGAAATTCCTATATATTAGACAATAGCCGGAGTTAATTTTTTCTGGGTCTTTCTGCAACTACAATAATGAAACAAGATTTTTTTTATTTCCTGTTGATCACAAAACAAATCTTCAAATACTATCATGTTCGATTTTTAAGAAATATGAGTAATTTTGGCATAAATTTTCACTTACAGACAAATCTGAAACTATTTTAGACAATAATTTTCTCTAATGTTATGTTCTCAAATGTTATTTTTTGAAAAATATCTATTGTACATCTCAAAACTCAAAAATGGTTCCGTGTGATTTTGCAGATTTAATTATTGAAATATAATTAAGCTCAGTAAAAACACTTTTAGGCGAGTATTATCATTTGAATGGATTTCTTCGTTTAAATTTGGGTGGTTATTTCTCACAACCTTGTAGTCGAAGAGCGCAACACATTTTATGAAATGAAACGAATTATAGCAATAAACACGTTGAAGATACAACTATTTCGGTGGAAGAAAATATTTTGCAATGAGGAATCATAATACATTTTTAATTCGTTACAATGGGTGAGGCAAACTCTTACGTTTCGTAACTAGTACACGGAGTGAAACTTCTTCAAACAAATCTTAAACAATGTGCATTATTACTTAAATAGTTGTTATACATGTTTTTATATCTAACAAATATATGTGTTTACTGAAAAATACTCGTATATCATATACAATTAATATTTTTCGTATTTCATTAATTTCCTTACCCCCTGTATATTTTAAACATGTAATATCTTTTTTTTAATTTGGTGTGTTTTTACGTTTTGGTAGTTTTCACTGCACTATCTAAAAGGGAAGATCACCTGGCAGCAGTCACTGCCACGCTCTCAACAACGGGCATAAGCGAAAGTCACTATCGTCTCCGCTGGTGGTATTGTTAACTTATATTTTTTAGGGCTAAAATCGCATTTAACTGTCGATTGTGTTGATATAATAGCTTTAAAAGATTTATTTTCCGCACGAAATGTTCTACAATTTGTAATGAGTTTTACAAGAGATGACAGAAATGTATTCATATCGAGAGATATTGCAGTATTCTATTATTTTGTAACCACTACTAAGTGCGAGAAAGTTTGTGCTGTCGAACTCTACTAGTTTCTCAGCTATTTGTGCTGGTAAACAGTACTTACCTATTCATCTGGTAAACAGTGCTCAGAGTTTGGGAATAGATTCGCTCGCAAAAAAAAGTTCATATTATATATAAACTAACCACATAACAGTACTTTGTGTACTTTTTTAAAATACATTATGAAACGATGATGTAATGATGGGTATTAATACACGAGTATAATATTTCGACACGAGTATCGTAAACTTGTATTAATAGCCATTACATCGAGTTGCATACGGTACTTTTTCTACGACCTGTGGTAACTTTTTTTAAGTTAATCTGTTACATTGAATCGTTTCGTCGTAGTTGATATGCAGGATTCGGCCAAGGCACGGCCAACAAGTCGGCAGAGGCCACCTAGCGCACAGCTATCCTACCCTGCGGGAGGTAGCTTTGCCAACCCGTCTGCGAGAGAGTACTAAAGTTGCGGATATTATTCCGAGGTCACTTCTTTCGCTCTTTCTCTCATTTCTGGAGGTGCCAACTCAACTTCTGATTCACTAAACATTTTAAAGGGAGACGGAGGTGCCTTGTTAAATGAGGATTTGTGATGTGCTTTTTAGCAGAAACTATTGAAGGTAGAGCTTTGAAAATTTCATACCACTTTGAACATTGAATATTTCTTACCACTTTAACACCCGGAAGTTTTAATATTTAGAATAGGGTTTAAGTTATTTTTATTTTACACTAATTTTTTCCTTAAATTAAAAAAATAATTTTCATACCTGTCAAAATAGAGTGTTTATTAAAAGTCTGTGTTAAAATTAAGACTTAACCACTGCTAATAAACTGCGAAATACCTACCCTACCATGCCTAGTTTTGGAATATCTTCCTTGTATATGAAAATTTGTAACTTACGGGAAATGGCTTCAAAGTTTTGTAATCACAAAAAATGCTCATATAACCTGCTGTTGGCGTTTTGTAGTGCTCTATTAGTTAAAATTAGCAATACAACAATGGATTAGCACTAACAGTTGCAAAAACATGTAACCATGAAGTTCCAACAATTGCTGTACGCATAGATTCGACAATTCACGAGCGCTATGGGTGGATTTTTACGATTATCACGATTCCGTGATTGGTCAAGAACATGTATTATATGTGTCCTTATGCAACGGGTTGTAGCTATCAAATGAGAGAATTATACAATAGGAGAAGAAAAAGGTTCTTGGAATATGGACTCTTTACAGCAGAACTGTTCGCTGACCCACACTCAGAATAATTTTTGGGTAGCTGAAGTTCTGTTACGTTTTTTACAAAGCTTTTGCGGACCAGACCTTCTGCCGATACAAATAACGGTTGTGTTCTTTTATTTTTATATCATTTAATTTTCAAAAGTCTTAATTGATAAGATAGATTTTCGTATTGTAGATTTTTTCTGTTTATTATTATTATTATTATTATTATTATTATTATTAAATTGTTATGTTATGACTTTTCATTAATTTGGTATCAAAATTTGCGATTTGTTAGAGTGAAAACGCATCTTCGCGTTAATTTTTTTTTAAATTACAAATTTTTGGAGGACTGCATTGTGACAGTCACATTTTTGTCATCATCAAATTGGTATTTTTAATTGAACGTGGGAAATGGATATCTCCATTTCATTTATTATTAAGGTTGTATATTCGTTAGATAGACCACGGTGAAGTACTCCCAAAAATACTTTAAATGCATGCAAAATCTCGTGTTCTTCAAGACGATAAGAAAAAATGGCACTAACCGGCCTAATTTTTTAATTGAATTACTGTAGGCTCTCATGGAAAATATTTCGCAGCATTTTTTTTACGTAAAGTTATTGAATTTGTTCGGTGAAAGTAATTTGTTTTAAAATTTTATTTAAAAAATAGTATTCTTTAGGAATCAGATGGTATTAAAAGTGTAACGAACCTCACCGGGCATTCTGAAGAGCAATTGAGAAAAAACTGCAGCGAAAAGCATCTGGCTCCAGACAGGAGCAATGCTATACAAATCATGCTATTGTTGCCAGTGTTTTTCTTGGGGTACGAGATAAAACCACCTTGACTTAAAATTTTGTACCACTCATAACCAAATACTATTTGACGATAATTCCCTTTCATTGTAAACAATGTGGATTAACATTCAATGAAGAAAGAAAGTATGGGCGCCAAATTCAACCTAACCTAGATATTGCCAATTTTTGAAACTGAAAAATCATGGCAGAGACTAAATGCATTTGTAAACATTGACTTTCTCAAACAACTATTCGATACTGCTCTTTAAATTATTTTCAAATAATTATTTAAATGCTCCATTCACTTTTACAAACAGCCATTGTTAATCTGTGGATGTAATAAATGGTCGCGTGTTGGACCAGCGACTGGTACGAACATACCACTATACTAATGAGGTTCCTACAAATTAAATTTAAAATATTTGTGTGCAGGTAGCTTGACTGAAACAACATTCTTTCGAATATTTAAAACAGTTATAATGCTGTTTATTACAAAGACTAATCGATACCCATCAACGATGGTAACAATAGCTAATTATGGTTTACTGCCAACACAAACATTCTGTACCAGAAAAGAATATGAAAACAGACCTTCTAATTTACTTTATTTCATATTTACGTACTTAGAATTAGGCGATTTTGCAGAGTATCTGAAAAGGAAGACATTGACATAGTTTGAAACATTTTTGAGGGGTAAATTTTCGTCAATGTGTAATCAGTCATGGAATTTTCTACATATTAAGAATTAAACAAGAACTAAAATGAACTCTTATACCAGGTTTGAGAATACTTTTGAGTTTCTTACAATGTAGTTTAATATAATATTCATGTATACACACATACATTAACTTGGTTTTCTTTAACACATGGCATCTTTCAGAATTAACATAAGAACCATAAAGAATATTAAAATCACTTTCAAGTATATCTAATAAATTTTTGATATCAATAATACATACTTTTGTTTGTTTTATTTTGTCAATAATAATAAAAAATAATCTGTATTTATTTTTACATTCAGCGCCTTGCATGAGTCTTTTTTTTTAATTTTAGAAATATTTTATGAAAGTAAAGATACTAAATTATTTACTAAAGATAAGAAAAATAAAGTAACATTGAGTGGTTTATATATCTTTCTCATTACATAAATGTTGATAAAATATTACAGAAATAAGAAAATTGCGTTTCTACACGTGAAAAATTAAAATATATAATATGTACACGAAACAATACGGTGCTGTTAGAAATAAATCAGTGCTTATCCTTTCTTATTCCAGTTCGGACAAAGAAGATTCACTGTCACAGTCTATTCCAGCTCCATTTAAACTGTAAGTTTCTTCTGTTGCGTACTTACGAACGAATTGGCTCACCATTTCATGAAATTCACCAGGCTTATCAATAAACAACGCAGCTGCTTCTGCATTTATTGGATCCACTGGATTTGGGTATGCCAACAGTTGAGGCAGAAAACATTCAAAAATATTTTGTAAATTGAATAAAGGCGACCAGGTTTGATTAATAACATCCAAACATACTGAACCTGATTTTTCATCGATATTAGGGTGAAAAATCTTGTTCATGAACCCTATAGATGGAGAACTGAATGGATAATTATCTGGCAACTGAACTCGAATTTTCCAAATACCTCCTTCATAAGGAGTACCTGTAGGTCCTTTGAATTTAACAGCGTAAGCATTTCCGTCTGGCAACATTTCAACTTCAAAACCATTAGCAATCAATTTCACAATATCCCTGCGCTTAGCTGCATTCGATTCCCCAGACATTGCAAACGGGTTTAGACTACCGACTAAAAGTTGTGGCGGCAACTGTGTTTTGTTTTGTCAATGACGCATCGGTTCACGTAATGTCTACAATAAAAAATATTGTTTCATAATAAACCAACACTACTCTATGTTTCATATCTATTCTATCTTTGAACAAACTAGTGAGTTTTTGTTCGTTGTAAAATCAGAAATTAAATGTCTTTCAAAATGTTTTCATGATAATTTTATTTGATCTTTTATTCTGCAGTAGCCATCATCACCACATTCTGTTCAAAATTTACAGACCATCTGGAACTGCATCCTCAGGCAAGTACAATCTGCGCACGTTTTCTTGAGCCTACATTTTGAGATGCGAGAGCATGAGGGTCATTTTGACGACAGGACTATTATAACTATGAAACTCCTTTGTCGATGCAAAATAGTTTGCATTAAACGGAAGTGAACATTTCTCGTTATATTTTGTCAACACTCGTTGCTGTTATTACGTTACTAATGTTTGTAAAGAAATAGGGGTAGGTTTTCCGGGCTTGAAGAAAATGTGGCCGTTTATCTAGTCTTCACCACAACTAATGCATGTAGACCATGGAGATACATGATGTAGACTATTGAATTGCGGTGGAAACTACGTTATTGTTTCTGTGGCCAAAGAGTAATCAATAATGGATGTGCGATTTAACACGCCAAGCAAATTGAGATGGTTACGAATTGTTTGTAAAGTTTTATTTTGGTATTCTACTTTGAAATATTCTTTTTTCTCAACGTTAATGAGACATTTGGGGGGAAAAGTGACGACATTTTCCATTACACGCGCATGTTTTCTTAAACCCTTCTTTTGCTATATGCAAAAGGAGTGGGGCGGTTGGTTATTTCGACGACAGGACTAATGTATTTAATATCAAATGGGTAGCTCGTCTTTCAATGTAAAATATTTTTTCTTACACAGGTGCAAGTTTTTTTGATTATCTCATTTTGTTAACAACGCCTGTTGCAATACCAATCCGGTGGCCGAGATCGCAATACGGCACTTCTGCCTTAGCGATCGCGGGCTCGAGTCCCGCCTCGGGCACGGTTGTATTGTGTTCGTTCTTTCACCCTTATCATCATTAGATCGCGTCCTTCTCACAGTTACCAGCCTGTTGCAAGCAATAGTGGTAGCTAATGACCTAGAAGTTGATGCGACCTCAAATAAGAAAAAAACTTGTTGCAATGATAATATATTCTTTATTCGACAAATATTGTAAAAGAAGTGGGAATAGGTATTCCTGGACTACAGAAAAAGGTGCGCGTATAATACGTAGCAATTATAACAAAAAATTGATGTACTACCGTCAGTAACTACATTCTCCTCAGAATCCTTACTTGTATGTAAAGAGTAGTAGAGTACTATACATAAAGTCTAATCTACGCAATATCTTCATTCAGTGAACGTATACAATCATTGCTACTACGAATCCATCCTCACAGTGAAACATATTCTTACACTTTGCTCTTCCTTCACATTATATTGAAATTGCCACAATAGCGCGCACCGCCATATTTGTACAACATTCCTAACGAAAGTTACGCTACGGGCAAGCAATAGATAAAAGCTTTCCTTCGTAAGATAGGAAATGTTGAGATAGTTCCCTGTATGGAGCACAATAGATAAAGATTATTACGATAGCAATGCAAACAAGATATACTTAAATTTCAGAAAAAATAGCTTCGACAGCTGATATGCCTAGTACTATTTAGGTAATAAAATATCAAATATATTTCTTAGGAATAATGACTATTTACAATCTGTACATACGTCTTATTATCTGAATTTAGGTTTATTGTACGAAGATAGTTCTAATTTTAACTCTAGGTTAATGACGTAAAAAATAGTTGCCCAATAATTTAGCTTAAAACATTATATATAAGCAACTGCATTTTTAGGTTGCACCTATTTTTGTGCATATTAAATTAGAATAATAAATACAAAACATGAAACTTACCTACGTGCATCATAATTCACATTCTCCGTTGATTTAATTCTTTTGAATGACATCAAATGTAGGGTGACATGAATAACACAAAAAAATCCTCATATTGAAACCAAAATACATTTAAAGTACAGTTAGTTCTCTGCAAGTGTTAATCTGAATGGTACCGAGACTCGTTAGCCACCACTCTATCTACTTCGAAATGTTGTCACTCTCACCTCATAAACAGATTATTTAATACATAAGACTCTAAGCTATTCGCAGCTCTCGTTACAGGAAATCATGTGGTCAATACATTGACATTAGTACGTAGAACTCTGAAGATTATATTTTAACTATTTTCCATTAGGTATGTTTGTAAAGTAAGTCCAAATAAACAAACAAGCAGCAGGGTTTCCAGATTGGGGAATTTTGTTCATTTGGGAATTTTCTTTCGTTGTGGAGAAAAGAATATGGAACATAAAGGGATGGGAAAGGTTTGGGGATTTTGGGGGGAAATTAGTTTCATCCGTGGTCGAGATAGAAATATTATTTTCTCAATTCATATGAATAAAAAAAAGAAACAGCAGAGGTATTCAGTCATTTTTATGTTTCAAAAAGAGAAAAATAAGCGACTGGCATAGAGAGAGAAAAAACAGGAGAATATCGAAGATAGTATAGGGCTGCGAGCAGCTCAAAGGAGGATGATTCATTGATTTGAATTTAAAGGGAAAGCCGAAGGAATCGTCAGGGACAACTCAAGTAGTTAGTTCATAATTTGGAGAATTTTTTTTTTATTTCAAATTGGGAAATTTTGTTTCATTGAAGAGATTATTGGGAGAAATTCCGTAGAAGTGTTGGGGAAAGAGCTGTTAGTATTTGACAGTCAGTGAAGAAGAATATTATAACTATATTATAAATTATAAACTATCATTTCATAAAATATTAAATAATATCAACAATAATTAAATTATTTTACGTTTCTATGAATAACTTGATTTTAAACTCCTGCAGATTTTGTTTACAATAGCGTCCTTAGCAAATGTTTTAATTCCAGTGATAGAGAATTCCCCTTTGCGTTTCTTTTCGGTGAACTGAGATTCTTTTAGTTGCATTTGTTTATGACACTACAACTGAGCATAATATGCGATTGTGATCACACCCACCTATAAACACTCAAAATCTTTAGGAAATGAAATTATATTTATTACTATTTTATGTTAATTACCATTAGCAACAATGAATCTCGATTTAATTACGCAAAGTTCTCATATAGACAGAACAGGTTAGCACAAATAGAATTCACTTACCTGCTGTAATTTTGCCATCCATGATGAAACAAAGATTTGGGTGACAAGTTCTTTCAGTCATTAATTCTTTCCATATCCAGCAATGTTTAATTTACATTGAAGCTAACTTTGAATTCATATGACATTTACCCTAGTACAGGGTTATTGGATTGATCCATTTATTATTTTGAAATAACTTAATTTAAATGAAAGTAATTTAATAAAAAATAATAAATTAATTGACAAATTCAACACAGAACTAATACACCTAAATAGAAATAACTCATCAACAAACTAAATAGAAGCTGAAGTAAGTAATGTAAATAAATAAGAAGAAGGAATTTCAGTAAAAAAGAAATACATAATTTTATTTTAAAACAGGTAAAGCAAACAACCAAAGGCAAAATTATCTAAATATGATCAATAATCACTTCTAGATAGTGTTCAATAATCCATTTGTGTTCAGTGTTTTACTACTAAATTTCAAAAACTTAAAATATTTAAATTAGTTTAATTGAAATATGTATAAACAATACACATTTTATCAATTGGAATACAAAAGGATATGAAATGGTAGGAAAAGGACAATCAAAAAATCATAGGAAGAAAATGAATGGCACAACCGATACAAAATTAGTACTGAACAAACTACTTAATTTAGCTTAACTAAAACAGATTGGTTAGTTTTTGGTCTCGCCCAATGGAGTTGCCAGCTGCCATTTGACACTTTTTTTAAAACTTCCTCAATTCTTCCGTTTCCTAAAGGTAGAACCGGTATATTACCTATAGAATTTTAAAGCAGAGTAAAACATCGTACTGAGTAACAATTATCGTTGAACCATTTTCAAGCAGAATTTTAACAATTTTTCGAAGAGTCATGTTTAAATAATATCACATACAGTTTCTCGAAAATTCAACAGTTTTTTGTGGAAACTAGCTCAAAATTACGCATATTCAGAAACAAACGCTATTTTCTCAAAAACGGTTACAATTTTTGTCATACTTTTTGAACGGATAGCGCTAATTGCGCTCTTTAATATGATGTAAAGTTCATTTTGGGGTATTTTATGTGTTGCCAAAAATTACATAAATATATGTTTTTAAAGATCTCTCACGCAGTTAATATGCACATTTTTAGCAATTTGCAAACACTATTGTATTTAGGAGTTAAATTGCTTCAAATGAAGGTTTTCGAAAACTCAAAAATTTTCTGTGAAAAGGAATTTGCCTATATTCTTTATAATACAAAAAGAAAACAAGTGTATTTTATAATTGAATGCATTTATGAACACAAATGTTTTAAAATATTTTAAAAATAAATAACTCAAAATCTCAAATTTTTCAGGTAAAAATAGTTAAAAATAACGGATTTTCCGAAACGCCCATATGATGTTTTCAGGAATGGCTCCATATTATCCCTCCAGAAAAATTCTGTAAGAGATAAAGGTTTTGCTATTGTTTTATATTCTCCAAATCGCATATCATGTAAAGTATGATTAACAAAAACTTGGAAAAGTGTTACAACAAAAACATGCGTGCTTTTTGATAAAATACAATTTAAATATTACAATAAACAATACTAAATCATTGTATTAAGGTAGGCATACGTAAGTATATTTTTTACAACTATTTTCGTTAATGTTGTTTTATAAATGACACCATCTCGTTAGGTTAGTCCTCATATTTACGTTCTTTAACTCTACTGAAAGTAGTAAAATATGTCTTATAGATATTTTTGAAACTAATCGATCAGCTATATATTACG